ATTTTATAATAAAACTTACAAATATGAACCATTAAAAACATTAAATGAATTAAGTCAATCTAAACATTGTATTTTTCAAAATAATTGCAAATTAGTAAAAAACGTATTATTAGAAACAATAGAAATTGACGAGGAAACAATAATTGTAAAAAATGCACATGATTTACCAATTCAACAAAATTGTGATGGTAGAAAAATAATTCTTAATGGTAATGTATTAATTCATTACAACAACTGTACTTTAAAAATATTAGATAACGAATTTTCTAATACCAGAGATATTGTAAAAGAAAGGTTTTATTACCCAAACACGATTAATAATATAAATTTTACAGACAAAATTACATTTCAAGATATAATTTTAAAATTTGAAAATAATATTAAAGAAATAAAGGAATCAACAAATAATTCTAAAACTATGTCAATAGGGCAAAATATAATAATGTTAACAATTTTGAAAATAATGTCAGTCCCATTAACAATTCTTATCATGTATTGTACAAAGAAATTTTTCTGTTCTAAAAATGGAATTCAGGAGAATTCCAGACTAAGGGAGGGAGAAGTTACATCCTTACCTAACACTAACGCATTAAATAATATTGTACCTACTTATAATAAAGTAACAGATATTTTAAGTAAACAAAACGAAACATGTCTTGACAAAAGAACAAAGAAAGATAATAACATTATCTAGGTAGACCGTTATTGATGATTGAAACAAAGAATAATAAAAAGACCATCATAATAAAGATTGACAATAATATTAGTATTTTAAAATGTAAAGAAGTTAAGAATAAAGATAAGGATAACCTACTGAAAACAATGTTAATAAACAAAATCAAGAGTCAACATGTTGTCAAAACAAATATGATAAAGTATTAGAAAAAGTAAATAAACAAAGTAATAAAAACATGTTTATTCTTGATATTGAAAAACATTAAATTTAAGAAAATGATAAAGAATAAAATATACTTAAATAAATATGACAATATAAAAATATTCCATGTTATTCCTGATAGATAAAATAACAATTTTGTAAATGATCTTAAAAACAAAAGATTGTCTATTAATAATAATAAACAAGATCATAAAATTAAAATAGTATAAATAGAGAAGAAAAATAGTTTTTAGTATAGTAATAGTCTTTAATTCCTAGTTATAAACATAACGTGTAATTTCTCAAATTCAGTTCTTGTATAAAAGAATACTATAATATTGTTAATAAAGAAAATAATAATAATAAATAAAAATTGAATATAAAATAAATTGTGTTCTAATAAATTATTAATAAAATATTGTATTATAAGGTTTTGGTTAAATAAAAATAAAAAGAATAAAAAAAAATATATTTTATATTTTTTTTATATAAATTCGGTTACGTAAATACAAAAGTCGCGCGAGTTATGTATAAGGATAATGTTGATAATAGTAACATTATACCTCCTAAAAATAATGATAACAAACTAAATCAAGAATCAACATTCTGTCAAAACAATTATGCTGAAATACTATCAGCAATTAACAAAAATGTAAATAAACAAAGTAATAAAATGTAAGACATGTTTACTCTTGATATTGAAAAATATTATTATTAGTTTAAGGAAATGATTAAAATATAATTGAGACAAAGAAGAAGTTCTTTGTCTGATAACCATTAGAAAGTAATTAAGACAAAGAAGAATGTCTTTGTCTGATAATTAGTTTTTGTTAAACAAAATTCTGATAAAATATCTGTTAGAGATGTTCACAGAAAATATTATCTGAAAAACAGATTTAAGTAGCAAAGACTCAATAGTATAAATAGAGAGGAAAAGTAGTTTTAAGTTCAGTTCATATTTTATAGTCGGTACGACAAGTTCCAAAATTGTTAATCTTTAGTTGTAATTTCCATTAAATAAATAAATAAAATATAAAAAACAAATTTAATTGTTTTTTTTTTTAAATTAAGCCCGAGATTAATTATTTAATTGGCGCAGTCGGTAGGATTGCTTTTCGTTATAGGCAATCCAGTGATACGAATCTAAAAAGTTCAAATAATTAATCGGTAGAAAATTTAAAACTTTAAACTTTAGTATAAAATTAAAATTATACAATTAATATAAAGTGAAAAAGAAAAAAAATTAATACCGAAGTAAAATAAATTTATTTTCATCAGGATACAAAGTTTTTTCAAAATAAAAACGTAGACACAAAGAGAAAATAAATAATAAAGTGAACTATATCCAGTGGTCCGAACCCCAACGCGGTGGAAAGTTTCAAGGAAGATAAGCACCACGGCAAATCAAGCAGCAACGAGGAAATAAAAAAGGTGATTCCAGAAACAAGCATCAAGCAGCAACGAGGATATAACCGATTCCAGAAACAAGCAGTAAAATGGACCAGGAAATACAACTACTAAAAGAAGAAATAAAACAATTGAAGGAACTGATGGGACGACAACAAAAGAACTCCGTTTTCACAGCAACAGAGTGTACGACAACACTCAGGACACCAACGTTTGTTATTTCCCAAACCACAAGGCAAATAACCAATAACAACAACGTTAACAACAATAAAAGTAACAATAAAAATAACAACAACAAGGAAAACAACACCAATAGCAACATCATTAATAATAACGTTAACAATATCAACAAAAATAACAGTAAAAATAACAACAAGGAAAGCAACATCAACAGCAACAAAAACAACGATAACAATAAAAATAGAAACAACAACATCGATATGAATAACATCAATGAAAACAATATTTTTAAAAATAATAATAACAGTAACAACAACATTTAAAAAGGATAGAATCAAAAATTTAAATACATTAAAATTAGATAAGTTATTCTTGAAGCTTATCCAATGTCAGGAAACTCTAGAATGCTATCGGGCCAACATTGCCATAACAGACAAATTTTAGGCAAAGACGGAGGCTAAAAGAGTAAAATAAAAAGAAAGGAATATACCATAAGTCAGGAAACCCTAGACACAATCCGGGCCAATATCGCCTTTTGTAATAGGATTAAGATAGGCAAAGACGGGTATAATTCTAGAAGAAGAATTATATTAATAAATAAATTAAAAGAAAATAGTAAAGTGTAATAAATTAACAATGGAAAACGAAGGACACCATTATAATAAAAAGAAAAATACTAAACTAAATTATAAAAATACTGTAATAAAAGCTACAAATCAGTTTAAAATACTAGAAAGTACTAGTGAAGTTACAGTAAGAAATAATATTAAAAAACACTTTATTCACGAGAATCTTAATAAAAAAATAAAAAACTATTTTAAAAACAGTAAAATGGCAGAATTACAAAAGACCGTTTTAGAGCAACAAAACCAAATAGAAGAGCTAACAAAAGCTCTAAAAGCTTTCCAAATTAAAGAAGAAAGGAACAACAGAATACAGCAACAGAACAGCAAGATACACAAGGAATAACAGAAGAACCAATGTCAACAGAAGGCATATATAGAACAATAAAATATATATCAACGTTCACAGGAAGAGGAGAAATCAGCATTAACTCATTCATAAGTAATGCAGAATATCATCTGAGCATGGTCAAAGGAAAAGAATCAAGAAAAATGATAACATGAAAAAATACAGGGAGAAGCAAAGGATTGTGTAATTAACCTTCCAGATCCAACAGACTGGGATCAAATTAAACTAGTTCTAAAAATGAGATATCGACCGGAAATGGAGCCTTCAGACATCTATAAAATGATTACAAACATAAGGGCGAACACGGTAAGTGAGTTAGCTATTATATTACAAAATATTAGTTATAAGTCTGATGAAGTGCAAGTGTACTATAGGGACGATGTAGCTATAGATTTAAGTAATGTAAGAAGTATGCTTGTAAATACCACAAAAGAAATGACTCAAGGAGTCTTATTAGATAAAATTTATTTTGAAAGAGATTTAGGGAAAATTATAACGATCATGAGGCAGAGACCTTATGAAGACAGTTGTATAAGAGATGAATTTAAATACAAACAAAATTTTAATAATTATAATGATAAAAGAAAGATTATGACAGTGACAATGTTGATATGGTGTCTGTTAATAACACCAATTAACGCTGGACTGATAGTACATGAAATAAATGACGAGACAGGTTTTACAACAATAAAACTAGACAACGCGAAGATCGTAACAAAAACAAATGTTATTTTGCATTCGATATATCCAAATGAAATTTTAAATATAATAAACAATATGATAATAAATATAGAAAATAAAAACATGAATAATAAACAAATGTTGTTACACGAACTAAATGACTTAACGAACAAGGTACATACATTTATACCTAGACAAAATAGAAAAAGACGAGGTTTATTGAGCATAGTAGGTAGCACAACGAAGTGGTTGTTTGGAAATATGGACGAAGAAGATAGGCAAAACATTGAACAACATTTAAAAAGCATAGGTACTAATAATCATAATTTAATTAATAATATGAATGAACAAATAAAAATAAATGACCGATTTAATAAAACATTGAATCAATTAATAAAAGTAATTCTAAATGATAGAGATATAAATAAGGTACAATCTGATAGTTTTAATTTTTATGATCAATTATTAAAAATTCAAATCCTTAGAAATAAAATTGATACCATTCAAAACAATTTAGCAACCGCTAGACATGGTATTTTACATCCTAACATATTTACTAATTCAGAAATAGAAAAATATGAGATAGATTTTAATAAGTTACAATATATTAAATTAGGAGTTTCAAAATTCAAAAATGATCATATTATTTTTGCAATAAAAATTCCAAGAAAATTTTCTGATGTACAATTAAAATTAATAATAGGCATTCCAAATAAAATGAAAAGGGAAATAGATTATCCATTAGAGGTAGTTTTTGAATTTAATAATAGAACGTATAAATATGAACCAATTAAAACAATAAATGAATTGAAATTATCTTTTTCTATATAGTTTTTCAAAATAATTGTAAGTTAATCAAAAATGAAGCAATTGAAATTATAGAATTAGATGAAGAAACAATAATTGTAAAAAAAATGCTAATAATATATCAATAAAACAAAATGGCGATAGTAGAAAAATAAATCTTAAAGGTAATATATTAATACATTACAACAATTGCACTATAAATACTTTAGATCAAGAATTTTGCAATACCAAAGACATTATAAAAGAAAGATTTTATTATCCAAATATACAAACAAATAACTTTACAGATAAATTAACATTTGAAGAATTTGTAACAAAATATGAAAACAATATAAATAAAATAGAAGAAAGCAATAATAAAAAATTTGAAGCAGTAAAAATTAGTATTGTTACTCTAATTGGTAGTAAAATTTTAACAATTATCATAACAATTTTTATAATAAAATGTATAAAAAATAAAGTATGTAAAAGAATTCAGGAGAATTCTAAAATAAAGGAGGGAGAAGTTATGTATAAGGATAACGTTGATAATAGTAACATTATACCTCCTAAAAATAATGATAACAAACTAAATCATGAATCAACATGTTGTCAAAACAATTATGCTGAAATACTATCAGCAATTAACAAAAATGTAAATAAACAAAGTAATAAAATGTAAGACATGTTTACTCTTGATATTGAAAAATATTATTATTAGTTTAAGGAAATGATTAAAATATAATTGAGACAAAGAAGAAGTTCTTTGTCTGATAACCATTAGAAAGTAATTAAGACAAAGAAGAATGTCTTTGTCTGATAATTAGTTTTTGTTAAACAAAATTCTGATAAAATATCTGTTAGAGATGTTCACAGAAAATATTATCTGAAAAACAGATTTAAGTAGCAAAGACTCAATAGTATAAATAGAGAGGAAAAATAGTTTTAAGTTCAGTTCATATTTGATAGTCGGTACGACAAGTTCCAAAATTGTTAATCTTTAGTTGTAATTTCCATTAAATAAATAAATAAAATATAAAAAACAAATTTAATTGTTTTTTTTTTTTTAAATTAAGCCCGAGATTAATTATTTAATTCGCGAGTTACATCCTTAACCAACCATGAAATAAAAGAGATAATAAATATCATTGAAGCAAGTAGGTAAATAATGATAACAGACATAAAGAAACAAAGAAAGACATGTTTTTACAACTATTGTAGTTATCAGGTAAATAATAGATTCTAATGTACAAAAACATGTCTCAACAAGAAAGTAATTAAATCAAAAGATAATAATGTGTCTGTTATCAAATATTAAATAGTTTAAAGAAGAGACAAAGAAATTAATTTCTTTGTCTTCATAACACAATAACAAAGAAATTAAATATAGATTAAGAATATTTTAGTTATAAATAGATGTAATGTCAGAACAATATTTTAGTCTAAGTTTGAACTGTAAAACCAATCATAATATAATCCGTAATCGTTCCGACTGTTAATAAAGATTTCTGTAAAAATAAATTTGTTTTTTTGTGTTTTAATAAATTAAAGTACATAATTGGCGCAGTCGGTAGGATACCCTCCGATACAGAATCAGACGCAGGAACGATTACAACAACTATTGGCAAATACAACAGCAACAACATCTCAAAATATACAACAACAAGACTCAACACTCCAGTTAACACCAGAGCAATGTATAAACCACTTTAGGCATTTAAAACCTTTTAATGGACAAGGAGAATATAAATTACAAGAATTTATCAAGGCTACGGAAAGCTCAATAAGTTTATGCAACCAAAACTTACAACTGGAGCAATACTGCAAGGAAATCATCATAAACGAAAAAGTGCAAGGTGAAGCAAAACGCTGTATACAACGTCTGGGGTCGCAGTTAACATGGGACAACGTAAAAGCAGAGCTGACACAACACTTCAGACCAAGAGCAGATTATGCAGAGCTCATCAACAGATGCAGGAGTTTAAGAGTAAGTACTTTAAGAGAATTATTTGATAATGTTAGGGAAACAAATTATTCTTTAAATGAGTTATATGATTTTGATGATAATAAGCCCATAATTTACCATCCTGAAAATAACGATAAATATTTAGTAGGAATAGTACTCGAAAAAATAGATAGTTTAGTTCGGTGTCATATAGACTAAAATAAAACGGTTATTGAAATTTATAATAAACTCGCGGAAGATAAACTTTTAGATGATGAAAGGGCAATATCAGGATCATATAAAAAATTTAATAGAGACAGGAATCAGCCTAATAATTTTTATAAGAGAGCACAAAGCAATAGAAATAATGATCATGTTAAATTAAATTATAATAATAATACTAGACAGAACGAAAATTACAATAGACAGAATTAAGAATTATTATCCTAGAGAAAATACTTCAGGACAAATTAAAAATACCTTTAATAATTCTCAACCATATCAAAGTAATTCGGGTCAATATAAAAATAACTTTAATTTTATAAAATAGAAATCAATTCCAAACACAACATAATAATTCATGTAGATTTAGGCATAATAATCCAATTCATGAAATAAATAGAGGTGAACCCATGGAGGTAGAAAATATTGAATTGCAGGAAGTAAATTTTACAAGGGAGCCTCGAGATCGAAGTTACCGATAGTGGAACTAACCATAAATAATACAAAAATAAGATGTATGATTGATATCGGTTCAGATACCAGTATTATATAATATAATTAAAGATATTCCTGAGAAAAAATTAGAAAATCCTATATTTTTCGCTACAATAAATAGTGTTAGTAAAATAACAAATAAATTAATTACTCCTTTTCCAATTGAATTTGAATCAAACGGAACAATATCATGGAAGGTAGTTAGTCTAGGAGGTAGAAAATATGATGCTATTATGGGGCAAAATTTTCTTATACCTTTTAGGGCAAAAATTGATTTAGAAAATCGTAATGTTAAAATACTTGAGAACATTGAGATACCATTTATTGAATTAGATTATCCTATAAAATTTGATGAGATTTGCACTTTAGAACCTATTGAAGAAGGGGTTCTAAGCAAGTTGAATTTAACACATTTAAATGACGAAGAAAGGAAACCAACAAAAAGGTTGTTACATAATTATAAAGATTTGTTTTTTGTGGAAGGTGAAAATTTGACCTTCACTCACGAAATTAAACACGAAATTTATACAACGGTAGAAAAACCCATTTATTCTAAAATATACTCGTATAGGTATCCACAAGTACATGAAAGGGAATAAACAAACAGAAATAAATAAACAGATTCAGGATATGCTACAGCAGGGCATAATAAAGGAAAGTAATTCCCCGTATAATTCGCCTCTTTGGATAGTCCCAAAGAAAATTGATAATTCAGGCGAACGAAAATGGCGTATAGTTATAGACTATAGAAAACTCAACGAGGTAACAATTAATGATAAGTTTCCTATACCAAACATTGATAGTATATTAGATAAGTTAGGAAGATCACAATACGGGTATAATCGAAAAGTAATCAAAAACGCGCATCGATACAGCATCAATGCAAAAAAAAGTTGCTGATACTATACCGATGTGATGCGTTTACCTTACTGATGCACTAATTTTTTGACATTTTTGGACATTTTCTAAATCATATGTGTTTTGACATTTATTTTGAAAAAATTTTCTTTAAAAGTGCTTAAATATTATCAACCATGGAAAATCAAAACAAAAAATTTTAAATATAGTTTTGGGAATTTTAATATATGAGACATCTGAAAACATTAATATGGTCCAAAAGAGAAGATTGAGTAAAGTAAGGAGATATTTGTCGAAGTTAGGAATCGCAAGAAATTTGATAAAAGGGAATCGTTTAATTCCAAAAATTTCCAATTATTTTCACGTTATCGAAGAATACCCGGACGATGTATTTCATAGTCATTTTCGAATGAGTCGACAAACTTTTACTGTAAGTATAATAAATTTATGATTTCCTAAAGCTAAGAATCAAAATAAACTTTTAGGAATTGGAAAATGCTTTGAAACGCTTTTTAAATACTTCTTTTGGTAGACCTAGGCTTGATATGAAAAAATGCCTGTTTATTACATTATGGCGTTTAAGCAACAACGGAAGTCTTAGACAAATTTCAGATAGATTTAATATAGCTAAATCTACAGCACATACAGTTTTTGTGAATACGATAAAATTGATTTGCAGTTTAAAAAATGAAATTTCTTGGCCAAATTTACGTGAGCAGCTAAGTATCATGGAAAATTTTCAAAATTTGCGAAGCAACCCTTTTCCATTTGTGGTTGGGTGTATAGATTCTACCCATATTAAAATTGCTGCCCCAAGTATTGATGGTATAAGCTACTACAATCGAAAAGGGTATCATTTTGTTATTTTACAGGTAAAAAAATGCAAGTAACTTTTTGGTCCAAAAATAATTTTATTCTTTTTTAAGGCAATGTGCGACAGCAAAAATCAATTTTTAGATGTTTTTATTGGTTTTCCTGGCAGCCACGATGCGAATGTATACAAAAATAGTGAAATATATAAAAACATTATTTCAAAGAAAGTCCCTATAAATGAAAATGGATATTTATTAGGAGATTCGGCATACCCACTTTCAAAATTTATGTTAGTTCCACATAGAGACAATGGTTATTTAAGTCAGGAGCAGCGTAAATTCAACTTCATTTTAAGCTCTACGCGTGTATCCATTGAACAATCTTTTGGAATTTTAAAAAAAAAATTTAAAATACTTAATTATACAGATAGCAGATCACTAAAACTTATATCAAAAATAATATTGTCATGTACAATATTCTCAACAATTTTATTTTAAAACGTGAACACGTTTCAGATGACATTATTTTAAATTTAAGTATACCGAATGTTGATGATGAAAATTGCCCAGAAGAAGAAAATTCTTTAGATGGACAACAAATTAGACGAAATTTAACAAATCTTTTTGCTGCCTAATGATGTCAGTTTTCAAAACTTTTCATAATATGAATGAGTATTATAATTTAAGTTCATATGTATGTAGGAACACAAAATTAAATTCTGAACAACTTAAAAATTAACTTAAATTTGAATACTATTTCAGTACATTTAAAAATAATAACAAGTAAAAAATACCTTGAGTTCCATATTGTAGTATCACGGTATTTAAACCTCGATTCAGCTTGAATTGCTAAATTCAACTTAATCATATATTTCTTAATAGAGTTTAAATACTGTATTATTACAATATGGAATTCAAGGATAATCATGAAAATTCAGTTCAGGATATTTTTTAATAATTCCTTTAATTCCCGAATTTCTTGTATACGTTCCTTTTCTAATTCAATTTTAGTTTTTTCAATAATAAGATTTTCTTCGTGTCGTTCTTTTTCGTTTTTTTCAACAGTCTGCAAAAATTCTAAAATTTCGTTATTTTTTTTCACCTTTTTTCTCGGAACTGGGGCTTTGAATATTTAGTATTTCTATATCTATTTCCTCATTTATGTCTAAGATGCTTGAAGATTGTATAGGAGAGAGGACAGACATTGCAGAGTCTACTACTAAAGAACATTCTAAATTCTCTACAGGTGGATTTACAGAATGTCTAGTTCCGTAAACTTCGTCCATTATCTCAAAGTATTCCCAGCTTGTTGCTTCCCTACATTCTTTTTAATTTCTTCGAAAATTCTTCTCCATAAAATTCCTTTTTTCTTTTTGCCAGCTACGAAATCTGTTTCATATTTTAATCGCGTTGTTAATAATATAATTTTGTTTGGGCTTCCGTCCAATTTTCGTTTTTTTTTTTTGTTAATTCATTACTAAAAGTTAATATTATCAAAAAAAATTAACTTTGTTAGTTATTAATTTATAATAATAAATTACTTACTTCTCAGCATCCATTTTTAAAACTCTGCATCAACACAAAATCACAAAAAAAATTGATGCACAGCTGATTTAATAAATGACGCATACGATGCCTATTTTTGACATTTTTGAACGCTAAACTTTGAAAGTGTTACCGTATTGATGCATTTTCGCACATGATTTTTGAATGATTACGCATCGATGCTGCATCGATTACTTTCCGATTATACCCTACTTTACAACGTTAGATCTTGCTAAGGGGTTTCACCAAATTATGGTGGACGATAAAGATAGAAAGAAAACTGCTTTTTCGACCCCTTTGGGTCATTTCGAATATGTAAGAATGCCGTTCGGATTAAAAAACGCGCCGGCGACATTCCAAAGATTAATGAATTCCATATTAAGAGATTATATTAATAAAATTTGTGTTGTGTACTTAGACGACATTCTTATTTTTCGCACTTCTTTGGAAGAGCATCTAATAAATTTAAGGAAAACATTTGATTGTCTTAGACAAGCAGGCCTAAAAATACAGATTTTCTCATGAAAGAAACGGAATATTTAGGGCATATTTTAACACCAATGGGAGTCAAGCCCAATCCAAGGAAAATTCAAGTGATCTAAGATCTAAAATTGCCGTCAACTGAGAAACAAATAAAATCTTTTCTAGGTATGACAGAGTATTATAGAAAATTCGTAAAAGACTACGCGAAAATTGCACATGGAATGACAAAATATTTAAAGAAAAAAACAAAAATTAATATCAATGATCCCGAATATATTTATGCCTTCGAAAAACTAAAAGAACTTGTAACAGAGCACCCTATTCTTAAGTATCCCAATTTCGAGAAAAAATTTAAATTAGTTACAGATGCTAGCAATTATGCACTTGGGGCGGTTCTGACTCAGGATGGTCATCCAATTTCCTTTGCGTTTAGAACTCTTAACGTTCATGAAAGAAATTATTCCACTATAGAAAAGGAACTCTTGGCTATAGTGTGGTCAACAAAATATTATAGACCTTACCTATACGGTAAACAATTTGATTTAGAAACGGATCATCAACCAATAAAGTGGTTACAAACTAAACATATGTGTAAGGATATTAACCCTCGATTACAGCGATGGTTAC